CATTCTGGTATTCTTTGAAGTTAATTTTATTAAATGGTATAAAATGTAAAAAGCAGCCTAAGCGATCTATGAATAATAATTGGGAAAAGGAATTATATCTTATTGGTTGTTTTCAATGTTATGCATGATACATACAGTATTTGTTCAATGAGATTGTCTTCTTACAGTGCATTTCTCAAAACGTGGATTAACTATGTCAGATTTTCCATGACCACACTGGATATATGCAAATTGTGAAGCTGGTGGTATTTTCAGTATATGCTATTACCTTGGTCCCCAGCTTCTAAATTGGACTGCTTGCTGTTATTCACAAGTTCTGGTTCTACTCATGGATTGAGAGTTCCCTTTTAAAGGCAAAAAATAGTGCATACTGAGTTCTCATCTTGGTCTTCCATCAAGGCATGATAAGGTTGTGTGCCTTGACTTGAGAAGTGTCTCAGGGCCCTCACGAGTAGCTGATGTCAGCATCTACCACAGAATCTTTTTGAATTTGGTTGCAATTTGTGCTTTGAAAGGAATTGCCACACGGTCCACCTGTCAAATCTATTTTAGGGTAAATGAAAATCTACTGCTTCCTAAAAATGCTGTATATAGTCCTGTAAAATATTCTCAGTGATGCAGGTTATGCACAGTTACTGAGGATTATACAAGGAAAGCACCTGAAGAGAACAGGCTGTTTTTATTAACTAAAAGAAGCCCTATCAGAATGCATTATAGTGTGTTGAGCTCAGTAACACTGCACCTTCAAACCAGTAAGTACTTCTGCTTACATTTTATAATTCATGAAAACTGATTTAGGAATAATTTATATGACACACGTTTAGTTTTTTGGCAATTTGTGAAAAAGCCAACATGTCTTACAAATGTACTTATTGCTTAGAAGTCAATCTATACTTGTACAAAATCAGTCTATATTTGTACAAAATTATATCAACCTATGTTAACTCTCTGTGGCAAGCATTCAACAAATGGTTCTGAGGAACTGTGATGTTCAAAAACATGAAAAAATCATTCAATTGGCTTTGACAGTGGTATAGATCAATATCCCCAAGGGTGTCTATTCCTAATGCAGGAGAATTAGCCTCTAAAATTAGAATTCAGAACAGTCAGCACAGTGACAGAGAAGTCAGCGAAGTCAGCTATAGGAACATGAAAGATAACATGTGAAACTCTCTCTCTCGTGTTTATGTCACTGCTGTAGCTACACATCTCTATGAAAATGGGTGCTTACGGGAGTAGGTCTTGCTTCTCCTTTCCACTTTGGCACTATGAGGTAGTCACTGAAAAAGGATAGGTCTGGTCCCTGTTCACTGCTTATGCACTTTGCAGTAATAGAAGGTTCATAGAATTGTTTAGGCTGAAAAAGACCTTTAAGATCATCGAGTCCAACCGATAACTAACACTGCCAAGTCCACCACTAAACCATGTCCCTAAGCACCACATCTACGCGTCTTTTAAATACCTCCAGGGATGGGGACTCAACCACTTCCCTGGGCAGCCTCTTCCAATGTTTAACCACGCTTTCAGTAAAGACATTTTTCCTCACGTCCAATCTAAACCTCCCCTGGCACCACTTCA